TAAAAAGGGCAGCCCGAGTATCAACTGCATTTGAAACTCGGGCCCTGACTAAACTGCTAAAACGCATTTTGAAGTGCAATTACAAACTGCTTTCGTGACTGCACCGTATTTACCTCCTTTTTTTTTTCTTTTTTTTTTTTGAGAGAAGTTGTAGCAATTTATTACCAAGCAAACAGTATAGGAAGAGGCCGGGGACCAAGTCCCACTTACGCTAGTCGTTCATTCCTGGCAGTTGATCTTCCTAATCTATGGTCGGAAATTGAGAATTCGGATAGGTGGGACTTGGCCCCGGGGACCTCGCAATTCAACCCGGTGGAACCTGAAACTGGAAACCGGGTCCAGCGTCCCTTGTCCAAACTGTCTACTGCAAAGGCTGACCTCTCAAAATGAAACCTTGAGGCTCTGTACCGAAAAGGGGGGCTACTGGAGAAAACACTGAAAACCAGGTCCGGTCTCCGCTAGCCCTATTTTGACTCGAAAAGCCGAAACAGCGAACTTTTGTACTTGGGATGTTCACTCAGTTGGTTACGAGTACACTAATGACTGCCAGAACCAACAAGCACCATACAGCCGCAACTTTTCTGAAAGATGCGCAGTTAATAAAACCACCAGTACATTTCCCAACCATTTTTTCACGTTTGCATACAGCCTCAACTTTGTTTCTTTCTTTTTTTGGGGGGGGGAAATGCATGAACTTTTTTTTTTTTTTTTTTTTTTCTTAAAGATATGTATGAACTTTTTTGTTCCGCTAGTGACAGAGATGGAGATGGAGGAAGAAGGGGGGAGCGTGATGGGTAAGGGAATCATGCAAATGACTCCTAAAGTGAGGGAAGTCGGAGCTAAACCCGTAAGCTGGGAAGCCAGGGCAACGCTACGGTCCCGATGCCTATGAGTATACCAAGGGAGAGCCCAACTCAGAGGAACCCGGCGAAGGGAAATCATCATGCGACACAACCAGGGGCCTGTACAGGGTAAGGTGGTAGGAGAGTGACGACATCTGAAGTAGGCAGAGCTGATTGAAAGGAAGGCCCTGACATCGAGTGCACTGTGGACGCTCAGAAGCATCCGACTGCTGCTGAAGGTTTGCCTCAGATGGAGCAGGCTCGACTTAAGCGGTCTCCTAAGCCGAGGGAAAAGGAAGAGGGTCAGTGGGCTGAGGAGCAGTCAACCCAGCACGATGAGCACGGTCATAGGCACACACCAATATGCGAGCGTGCTGCAAGTGCTCAAGGGGCTCCCAAGTAGCCTTCTCATCAGGGTAACCCTTCCAACGTACGAGATACTCGACGTGAGGAAGGTTGTCGTCGGTGACTCGGCGACCAATGATGTCTGAAACGAGGAACTCCTCGTGGCCATCCACCATGATGGGTGGAGGGCGCTCGTATGGTCATCCAGCGAAACGCTCAGACGGTCTGCGGTAAGGACGCAGTAACGAGACATGGTAGACATCGTGCACACGAGCCTGGCGTAGGTAGTCGGTCAGCTTCACACGGAAGCTGACCGGGCTAGATGACGTGTCAGAACCAACGGCCTGGAGGATGCGGCATGGGCCAAAGAAGGGACGCCTAAACTTGCGAAGCGTGTCTGCTTCGAGCTGTAAGTGGCGGGCGTCGATAAGCACGTCATCACCGACTTTGAAAGGGTGGTCCATCCTCGATCGGTTCGCACGTGCTGCCATGCGAGTCTGGGAAGCGGCTATGTGCTCATGTGCGGTCTTCATGATCGACGTCATGTGTGCAACCCAATCATCCAGTGCGGGACAGTTCGTGTCAGGGTGCATTTGTGACGGTTGAAGGAAGTCCGCAGGAACACGAGGGTGATAGCCGAGGTCGCAATAGTAAGGCGACATCCCCGTGAATGGCGAGACGGCGTGGTTGTAGGCTATCTCCGCGTGGGCAAGATGGAGRTCCCACTGCTGGTCGTCACGAACAATCTTTCGGAGAATATCTCCGAGAGTCCTGTTTGTGATCTCGGTCTGACCATCAGTCTGAGGATGGTAAGACGAGGAGAAGCGGAGCTGAGTGCTGTACACCTTGTGGAGCCGTCGCCAGAATCGGCTGGTAAAGCGCGGGTCACGGTCATATATGATGCTTAGAGGTAAGCCGTGGTCACTCACGACTCGGTCAAATACGATGTCGGCGACCTCACGTGCACTGATGGCATAGCAGCACGGAACAAAGCGTGCACGCTTCGTGAAGCGGTCGACGACGACCAGGATAACATCATAACCGCGGGGGGTCGGAGGTCGAAGAGGACCGATAAAGTCCATCGAGATGGACTGCCAACGACCCTCAGGGATAGGAAGAGGCTGGAGTAAATCATAAGGTAGGTGGTTCGCACTGTTCACCTCCTGACATGTGGGACACTCTGCGACGTAGTCCTTCACAAAGTCCTTGTGCTTCGGCCAGACGTACAGGCGGCTCACACGAGCCAACGTCTTGTGGAAGCCCATATGACCGGCGGCTGCCTGGTCATGGAACTCCGCTACTGCTCGGACACGTAGCTGTCCAGTGGAGGGAACGCAAATACGGGGCTCTCTGGTTCCCTCTGAACCGTGCCAGTACACAAGACCGTTGTCCCCGAGAGAGTAGTTCGGGGACGGTCTTGCCACTCCGAAGGGTCGCGTGGATGTCGCGATAGTCGGGGCAGTGGCGGTACTGAGTGCGAAACTCGTCGATCACCGAGTGGTGGACGGTGGTGACCGAGATGGAAGAGAGCTGGATGTGCTCCTGGTCGTGGTCAGGGCGCAGGTATAAGGCATCTGCGACCCGATTAGTCTCACCCTTGATATGCTCAGTGGTGAAACTAAACTCGGATAGGTCGCACCACCAGCGAGCCTGTCGAGGAGTGAGCTTCGGCTTCGTCAGAAAAGCCTGGACAACAGAGTTGTTCGTGCGCACCGTGAATGGTGCCCCGTGCAGGTAGTGACGCCAGTGCCGAGCGACATAAACTACTGCGATAACCTCACGTTCATCAACAGTGTAGTTTATCTCGCAGGCAGGAGCTGACGGGAGTAGAAGGCTATCGGACAATCACCTGAGCGAGACTCGACAGTGCCGTCCTCGGCGATGGTAGGAGAATAGTCAATAGAGGGCTCGTCAGTAGCTGGACGAGTAGGCGTCAGTCGGGAAGCAGTGGTAGGGGTAGGTGGTGGGAAGCGAGGGATACGAGGATGAGAGGAATCAGGAGAGGATGGGAAGACCTGAGAAAGCACTGCTCCTACAACAAAGTCTAACGCATCAGTGGTAATGATAAAAGGGCGATCAAAATCGGGTAGGTGAGGAACCGGTGCGCATGTCACCGCCTTCTTGAGGGCGCGGAAGGCGTCCTCGTGGAGGGGTGTCCAAGCCCAGGGTGGGTTCTTCCGAAGGAGGGTGGAGGTAAGGACGTAGGAATACCTAGCGTATCCCCGGATGAAGTTACTATAGTAGCTGGTCAGGCCTAGGAAGCTGCGAAGCTGCTTGGCGGATGTGGGGGCGGGCCACTCCGCAATAGCAGTGATCTTCGCGTCGTCCATGTGGAGACCCTGGTCAGACACGTAGTGTCCTAAGAAATCCACTTTGTGCTGGGCAAAGCGGCACTTGCTCAGCTTGGCGTAGAAGCCATGTCTGCGCAAGCGGTCAAGCACGTCGCGGAGGTGTCTCAGGTGCTCCTCAAGGGTACGACTGTAGACCAGGATATCGTCGAGGTAGACGAGAACGTACTGTTCCAGGATGTCCCTGAAGATGTCGTTCATCGCCCTATGAAAGGTAGCGGGTGCATTGGTGAGGCCGAATGGCATCACCGTAAACTCGTAGTGGCCGAAGCGCGATCGGAACGCTGTCTTCGGCTGGTCGGCTGCAGCGACGCGGATCTGATGGTAACCGCTACGAAGATCAATCTTCGCAAAGAAGCGGTTGCCTGCTAGGCGGTCGAACAACTCATCGGAACGAGGCATGGGGTAGCTGTTCTTAACCGTGTAGCGGTTGAGACCGCGATAGTCGATGCAGAGACGGAGAGTTCCGTCCGCTTTGTGAGCAAAGAGGACGGGTGCACCCCACGGGGAGTTGTTGGGTTTAATAAAACCCAGTCTCAGGAGCTCCTCAAGCTGACGCTTGAGTTCGTTGGCCTCGGGGATCGAAAGTCTGTAGGGTGTCTGGTGGTGAACACGATAGTCAGACACAAGCTGAATGGAGTGCTCGATGTCACGCATCGGTGGGATGCCGGCGTACGAGAACGACGATGGAAAAACGTCGCGGTACTCTCGGATGAGGTCACAAACTGCGGACTCCAAGTCAACCGTATATCGTGCGAGTTCCTCAGCGTCAGCGTCAGCGTCAGCGTCAGCGTCAGCGTGCGACGGCGGGGTGGACTCGACGGACGGCGGAGGGACGGAAGTAGAGATGGAAGCCATGGAGATAGAGGGAGGATCTGGCTCCAGAGGGATGAGCTTGGCGTCGGGACAGGGTGGATCATAGTGTAAGAGATCCGTCACGTCCACCATAAAGAAGGTGACGTCGTCCTGTCGAATGAAGTGAGCGAACTGCCGAGGCGAGGTGACAGTGATAGAGGGAGATGGTGTGGGCACTGAAGGCTCCAAGGGAGGAGGATCGGGGTCTGGTGTCGCCGTGGTACCTATGAAAGGTACGCGATACGTTTGTCCACACTTCATTTTGAGAACGAGAGTATTGATCGCCCAATTGGCCTCAGTGCTGCGAAACCGACGAGACCACGGAGTGCCGAGAATGAAGTCGTACCCCGTCTCCATCACATCGAAATGTGCAGAGGAGCGGTGGCGATGAGACGCCGGGGAACGATCAGTCGGCTCGAGAGTGAGGAAGAAGGGGAGGTCGGTGACCGTCTGATCGAAGTAGCGCTGGGTCTTGTCATCCCCTAGGGTAACGGAGATGGGAGTCGAAGACCCTGTCGTGGGTAAGCGAGCTTCCTTCACCACGCGTGGGTGAATGAAGTCGCCCTGAGAACAAGAATCCCACAACGCTGAGTACACCCTCGTGGAGGTCCCGAGTCGTACGGGGATGATCGGGAGGGTGCGATCAGGGTCAGAGAGGATGGCGAGAAGGCGACGCAGTGCAGCGACATGGAGGGTGAGTCGCTCCTGACGAGCCTGAAGCATGCTCAAGTCCAGAAGAGAGGACACAACGTCCTCGCGAGTAGCAAGCTGCTCGCTGCAACAGGCTGAGCGAATGGCTCGACGCGTCGGTAGTCGCGGCGGGGAAGGAAGGGAGACGGAGGTCTGCGGAGGCGCAGACGGTACTGCGACAGAGGGCTGAGTACACT